GAAAAAAAATTGTAAAAGCTCATCCTTAGTCCCATTCATATAAACCTACCGAAATTAACCTTCCTGAGGCTACTGTACTGGATTGGAAGAGTTCTTTTTACGGAGAGAATGTGGCAGGTTCCACCAGAAATTAAAGTTTTAAATACTTCTTAGAAAAAAGGAAAATGCTTCATTGAAGCCAGCAATCTACTTCCTTTATGTACTTGTGACAGCGTGAGGAATGTTTTTCATGCCTGATCTACCAATTATGGAAGTACATCCAGCAGGTCAAATAGTCTTGTGGTTTACAACTGGCAGAGATGAACATCAATCTGAGCCTGTAGCTTCTCTTTCACCAGTTCTGCCTCAAAATCCAACAAATCACTTGTTTAAACAAAGTGGATCAAGAGATGATTCATATGAGATTACACAGAAAAGCCCACATCTTAAATGCAAGTCTAAAGGATCCCACCATCTTCAGCTGTGACCTCAACTAAGCAACTTCTTTAGGTCTGAGTCCCCACTCTCTGACATTGCTTTCTGTAGGGGTGAAACATAATAGTAGAATAATGAGGTTGTTGAAATTTCTCTAATTTCTGAATTAACAATCCATATCCTTCTTAGAAGCACCTTCAGGATACCCATTGCCACAAGTGATCAACAGCTTGGCTTCATAAGTATAATTTTTATTCTGCTAATTGACGGTTCAGACTTCTGAAATGAATAAAATTAGTAATTTTACTGTAACTCTTTATTAATACTAAGCTTTCAGAGCATAGAAAATGGAAATCGCTTATCTGGAATGTCAGAGGGCAACTAGACAATTGCGTCACCCTTAAAAATTATCCTCTATCTCATTCACATATACTGAAAAAAAATTTCTCACTCTTAATTCTTTTCCTGAAGTCTAGTATTTTTGCATCAGTAAACATTATTTGGGAGAGAATCTGGATCAGAAGTTCCCTGGTCCTTAGGATTTTTGTGGCATGCAGCAACTTCTACGGCAAGACATTGTCTGAAATAGTCTTTGAGGAAGAGGATTTTTGTGGGGGTTTTAATCAGTCTTAAATCTAGTCTTTTTTATTTTTTTTTTACATAAAAATGAATGTATTTAACATCGTACAGTTTGGGAGTAGGAGGGAAAATCTGCAACAAGCCAAGTTTCAGCATCATTAATGAGCTTGTTCTGCGTTTGGAAAATGAGAGAACAGCGTGAACCACTAGCAAAAACCTCAGCTGCATGTGAGTAAAGCAGCTAATTTCAGTAGTGGAAACTGTCACAGGCAGGACTCCAGCAACTGGAGAGCACAACTCAGGCGCTTTCCCAGCGCTTTCCTCCACAGTTAAAAATCTACTGGCAAATTGTACATCTCCTGCACAGCAATCACAATGCTTTCTGAACACATTCAAGCAGCTGTACTCATCCAGTTCATGTGTGCAAGCATCACTGGTGCATACACAATCACACTAATTGTGTGTTGATGAAACACAGCAAACACTGATTCTGTGATTAACATCTGGAAATGTAAATCCTAGGAAGGAAACAGAGTTTATTTCTGAGCTAGCATGCCTGCTCACTTGCTCTCTCACTTATCCTTGCATTTTTCCACTTCCATTGCTACTTCCTTGTACTTACAAGTTGTAGCTGTACCACAGGGCACAGAAGCTTCTCGTGCAACTTGGTTGCCATTTGTATCAGAAATAGCGTGGCCAGCAGGAGTCGGGAAGTGATCGTCCCCCTCTACTCAGCACTGGTGAGGCCGCACCTCAAATACTGTGTTCAGTTTTTGGCCCTCATTACAAGAAAGACATTGAGGTGCTGCAGCATGTCCAGAGAAGGGCAACGAAGCTGGTGAGGGATCTGGAGCACACGTCTTACGAGGAGTGGCTGAAGAAGCTGGGGTTGTTTAGCCTAGAGCAAAGGAGGCTGAGAGGAGACCTTCTTGCTCTCTGTAACTACCTGAAAGGAGGTTGTAGCAAGGTGGCGGTCAATCTCTTCTTCCAAGTAACAAGCAACAGGACAAGAGGAAATGGCCTCAGGTTCTGCCAGGGGAAGTTTAGTCTGGATATTAGGAAAAAATTATTCACCAAAATGGTTGTTAAGTGTTGGAGCAGGCTGTGCAGGGAAAAGGTGGAGTCACCATCCCTGGAGGTATTTAAAAGATGGGGAGATACGGCACTCAGGGACATGGTTTATTGATGGGGTTGGCAGTGCTAGGTTAATGGTTGGACTCAATGATCTTAAAGGTCTTTTCCAACCTAAACAATTCTATGATTTGTGCACCCTTGGCCAAGAGCATGATATTAAATGGTCAGGGCCATTATTATACCCCAGCATGTCCTGGCTTCCTCCAGGAAGAAACTGGGGAAGGCTGGAGCAGGCAGGAGCTGTGCTGTGCTCCAGTCAGTCCCATAGCTGGAATAAACAAGGAGGCAGGACTGTGGTGTGTGCACCAGGGAGCACCCCTACCTGCAGGTCACCTTCTGCCTGGGTTCCTACCTTTTCTCTTTGTCTGGATCCCAAACAATGCCCTTCCATCCTCAATAGTTCAGCATTCTTTTATAAATTTGGTTTTAATTCTAAATTCCTTTAACCCTTAATATCTCTTTGATGTTTTAATGTCTCACTTTTATGATTACTCAGATAATGGAGCAAAAACAATTCCAGATACAAACATATTGTGAGTACAGAAAAACTCTTTGAGTTTCTGGCCAGAGCAGAGTTCAATAATCAAAGCAACAGTGGATTCCAACCTTTGAAGGATAGCTTTCAGATGCAGAATATGGCTCAGCATGCTGAAGGCTAGCCAACTGTTTTGCAGAAGCATTACCTAACAACCAGTTTAGTGAGAAAGGAGGATGGGAACAGCACTAGTTCAACATGTCACAAATTGGCCTAGATGTATGGAAAAACAGAAAAAGCGCCAAGCAGGATTCTCAGTTTCTGTTGTTTAAAATATTTTTTTCTATTTAAAATTAAGAAATAATCTCAACTGTTTTCACACTGAACAGAAGCGGGAACACATCAGTTGGCCCAAAGGCACTTGGAAGAAAGCCAAATAAATGAAGGGCTGACATCACAAAACTGCTGGAGGAGGTAGTGGGTACGTTGTGCCTTCTTTAGTCAATACCCAGGCAGTGCAGATACTTACCTGGTGCCACGAGACCAGATTCAGTTAATTCCTCTCTGCCTGAAGTGAACCAAACCTACCTACTTCACCTCCCAAGACAATGAACTAAACACTGCTACAAGATAGCATGGAGGGCCCACCAAATCTGCTCAGCTGATGCCATTCTATTTTGCATAAATAATTAAAATTCACTAGCACACTGAGTCTCAGCTAACAAAGCCTTTCTACAGCATGCATCCTCCCAACCTCCAGGCTGTCACCTTGCTCCCACTCCCTTTGTCCCAGGCTCAATGAATATTTCAAGTGAGAACAGAAACAACAGCAGTGACCAAGGGAAACCCATTTTGGACCTCTCCTGGTAAGAGACAGTGGACCTGCTTCAGTCTCCTGCCCCAGATTGAGCTATGGGTATATTTCAACCTGGATCTTTCACTTCTTTAGTGAGCAGCCTAAACAACAAGACGCAGCATGTTCTGCCCTACTTTTCTCCAAACTGTTCATAAGATTACCCAGTGAATCCCCACATCTGTCAGTCAGCTGCCAATCTCTTTCAGAGCAACACAGTAACATTTAGAAAGGACTTTAACAGGGATTTTTGTATCCCATTGGGAAATACTGAAAAAAACCCCATCCCAACAGCATTCAAGCATTTCTAAAACTGTTCCAAAAATAAAAGTCAGTCATGGACTAAATTACTGTCATCTGTCTCCTATGAGAAGTGCATAGCAGTACGAAGGCAAGCAACCCTCGGCTTGCAGGGAGCAGCTGTGGTGGAATAACAGGCTGGGTAACAAAGGAGGAAGGAGAAGTAAACAGAGCTGGGGAAGAGGGTGATGCAACCTCAGGAAGAAGAGCTTCAGAAAATAAATCATCAGTGAAGGTAAGAAGAGGCAGCATTTGAGCAGAAAAACATTCCTTTGGACACTGCTCCAAAAGGAGACAAAGGTGAGAAGGGCCATGTGCTAGCAGCAGTCAAGGGATTTACTGAAAGCGCCTTATTAAAGGGGAGGGAAATGCCTCCCCTTTGCTTGATACAAGAAAAAAGAGAGAGCAAGCTCCTGATTTTGGGAAAGGGAACTGTTGTGTTTAGCCACACAGTGATGCCATTGATTGTTTTCCACAAAAGCACATTTTTGTGTAGCTATGCAAGATTTCTGATATTTCAAAACTCAGTCCCACCAGTATGAACTGCAACATTTTCTTAATACAAGCAAAGCCTGAAAGCAAAATGCCTTTTCCATGTCTGTATATATCTATATCTCACATTTTCCACCCTGTATGTATTCTTACTAGTAGTATCAAAGATAGAATTAAGATAAAGTTACTTTTTTTTTAAAATCCTTGGAAGAAGGTTAAGATGTGTTCAAAGATAGGAACACTTTTACTAGTACCAGTTGTGCTACATCCTCTTTTTGAATATAGATCTTTGAACAGAAACACATAAAATATTTGGTAAAAACAGATATAATACTGTAATCATTATATATTTTAGGCAACATGTTTGACCAAGGATAAAGTAATAACTAGAAGTTGTAGACACTAAGGAAATGAATGCAAGAAAAAAAAAGGGTAAGAAATTTATTGTGAATGGACATTTCCAGGAGTGAAATACAGGTGAAATAAGGATCTAAATATTACACTATATTGCTGGCAACAAATGAAAAATTATATAGGACAAATCTGAAAGTACAACATCGGTCAAATGCACACTACAACCTAATCCTACACCAATACTGTTCCAAGATGGTCAGGTAACACTGCAATGTTAAAGCTTGTTTTCAAGTTGTCATAATATTTCCTAAATTCATGTTGTATACAGCAACCAGGTACATAAAACTGACAGTAAAAAAGAAAGGCCAAAAACAAATGTAACTGGGGTTTGGTACTCACCTCCTTCTCCTGACCCAGAACCATTATCTGAAAAAGAAACAGAAGGGGAGAAAAGAAAGCAAATGAAAATATTGCTCCAGTAGCAGCTGTTCAGGAACTTGTCACTGTAAAACATTACACAGGTGTTACATTTCATGAGCCAGGTGTAAAAACAAACATCCCACATGCAGCCTGGCATCTGTTAATACAGTTTGTCCCTGCTTACTGTGCCCTATGCTCTCTCTTTCCTGTCAAGATATTTTTATTTGAGGAGCAGCATCATTCAGTACTGAAAACTAAATCACTCTCTTAGCCTTTCTTCAACTTATAGGGATTTAATTTCGTTAAACTCAAAACAGATGAGTATAGAGTCTGATTTTTGGAATATTTATTTTTTTTTTACACTCTGGCCCTGGGAATAGTACATGAAGCAGTACTATAAAAATCACCTGACTGCAGAAGTACCTCCAGATGACAACTGGTCCTCAAAGTAAAGTTGGCTTCAGTCATCTAACGACAGAATAGCTCCTCTCAGCTGAGTCAGTCACTTTGTATAAGGATGCTCTAATGTCATAGTTATTTGATTGACATTACACTGACTGGATTAGCATCTGATGAGTGCCAGCTTGTGGCTGCATCCCCATTGCATTAGCAGTTCAAGCATCAGCAGGACTTGAGCTTCCTCACCACTCCAGGCCAACTAACTCCACTTCAGAACACTACAGAGCTGGTTAGGGGTTTTGTACAGGGATGGGCATCCCACTGGGCAGCACTCTGCGCAGTGTCTTCAGCTAGCACAGCAGTAAAGCCCTTAAAAACACACTCTCAGTCACAAACCTCCCTCGGTCTTTCTTGCTCAAAGGAGGTGCAGAGGAGAGGATAGGATGGCAATTACCATCAGTGAATTGCTCCCCATCCCTGTTAGCTCAGTTCCTCTGGAAGATGAGGAGAGGAGCAGAGCACATACTCTGCTCGTCCCACACCTCCCCTTTCATGCCTGCTTTGGTGATGGAGAAGGCAGCTGAATTTATTTCCACAAATCTGAAAGAAGAAGAAGACCAGACAGAGAGAGGAGTGGGGTTCTTACTTCCACATATGAGTTTATTGCTCACATCAGAGGAAAAACCAAACCCTCTGTTTGCTCAATTCCCTCCCCCCTCTTTTTCTTTAAGCAGTTATATTTCTAAGAATAATTCCCTCTAGTGTGTGGATGAAAGTGTGAAATTCCACATTACTGGGTCACTTCACACATTAAAAATAATCTCCTGTCACATGGAGTATCAGGAATAAAGAGGGGTTTTTTTTCCTGTGCCTATATTTTCCTTTCTTTCCTCCTATACAACTACTCTGTGTCTAATAGACTGAGCTTATTACCTTACAGAAATGAATGCAAAAACAGAAGGACTCTTGTTCCATCAATAGTGACCCACTTTACTGACAAAGCAGACAATCCCCTATAAAATGTCCCTGATGAGTCACTGAGAAATATGCCTTATGATACAGTATTGCTTCATTAAGAAATCTGAAGTATAATTTACTTATATGAAGTAAGTACATAGGCTTATTTGCAGTGGTGAAACTGTGTCATAAGCTGTTCTGAAGGAGAGAAGGCTGATATACAAACATGAGCAAGTTCAACATGTAATTCATGTAAAAACAAGGCTAAAAGGTCTCAAAAAACCTTGACTTGATCCATGTTTTTATTTCCAGTTCTTACTCTCTGACTGTTTTCCCCTGCACCTTCAGACCCGAGGTGAGAAACACTGCTCAGCTCCAGCATGGGGGGCTCCAGTCATATCATGAGGTGTGTATGCTGTATGGCAGGGCAAGTACCATCACACAGACGGTACGAGCAGTAACAAGATAACCAGGCCACCCATTTCTATAGATGACTGCACTGCCGTACTTGAAGTCCATGGGCAACTCTTTCTCCACTTGGCAGGACATTATAGTAATGGGATAGATCCATTCCTGTTTCTCAGGGATTTAAGATCTCAAGAAACCATTAAAAAAGAGTGTCATCCTCTGTAACACTTTGCATAATTTTTGACTTTTCATTGGGAGCTCGTGCCTCCTCTCTGAGCCTGAAGCTGTGCTAGGACTCTTGTCTCCAGGGTAACCATGCTAAACTAAGCTGGTGTTCCTGCTTTATTTTTCTCTGAGTCTTGGCTAGATTTTCCCAAGCAGCTGCTGGTTTAAAAAGTAGCATTTGTTTGAAAGCTTACTTGGACAAGCAGCCCTGCTCTTTTTCAGGCCCTTAACCAATTCAGGATTTCCAAAATTGGTCTCCATGTACCAAGAGCTGGCAAGAAAGATGCTCAAACAAGTGAGGAAGCTAGACAGACATAGCATCGCCCCCAGCCACAGGGCAGTAATTAGAGACTAGTGGTTGACTTATCTCTTCACTTAGGCCACCTTTTTCTACATTGGCTTGTAAAAATAAGCTTATACACAAATGTACAGGCTTCTGCTATGAGCTGCTTTTATCCGTGAAGGAGTTTCTGGATAAAATACATGAAGAAGTACTTGGATCAGACACAGCATCTGAACACTGTAAGCAGTAGGTTACAGTCAGAATCCCTTTTTTTTTCTATACCATGGATCTGCTTTGTTGCGGAGGCAGAAAGTACACTCTCCAAACCCAAAAGAGCCTGCAGCCTCCTCTCTCATTCAGGAGGCCACCAAAACCGGTTTGTGAAGGAGCAGTGGTGGCCACCTCAGCCACCCCACGCTCCCAGCAGCATCAGCTCAGCCTTCCTCCTGCTGGGTTTGTATCCCCACCTTCCAAGAGCAGGGCTGGCTGCTAGCAATTACCCTTGATTTTGATAGGCCAGCAGGAGCTTTTGGGGAGGAACACTGACAAGCCTAATTGCCAGCAGCTGCGAGGCCTCTGGCTGCTGGAGATAGGCTTTTAACCTCCGCCTTGCCAGGCTGTGTGTAGGTGCTGTCCATTTGCCTTGACTTCTTCAGGGAAAAAGTGTCTATTATCACTTGATCTTGGTAGCCATTTCCTCCTTAATTATGTCATGAAAAAAAAAATATACAAGATATTAAATCCTGCCACATGTTGATGAGTTATGTCTGGGTAAGCTTATTTCTTTGCTTCCAAAACATTTCCTAATGACAGAATAGTGATGCTGTGGTGTCGCAAACCCTCCCTCAGGCTGGACAGGAAAGCTGCTCTGAATCTGGGAGTAAGGGTCTTGGTCAGCTCTTGGAATGAATTAATGTTTTTATAGCAGCTTTTCAGGTTTGTTACGACTTTCTTGCAAGAGCATAAAGAGTTATTTTCACACTTTCTTAATCCAGAAGCCAGTTGCCTAGAATTCCTTCTGTAACTCTCTCTCGAAAGGATTAAACTGAGCTTATTATATTTCTTTTCAGGACAATGTGTGCATCTAATTATGCTTCACTGTAAGCCTCCCACAGAACAGACATTTACTGTAAAAACTTGTGCAATCAAGTTCAATGTAAGAGTTTGATTACTTCAAACTGAAGAACACCAAATTAAAGCCACTCTTAAGAGAATAATTCCTTAAATCTAACAGAGATATAGTGTTTGTTTCTAGGTCTGCAAATAGCTATTTTTAACTTCAGAAATCCCAACAGAAAGCAATGGACTGTGTCTTCCAAATATATACAGTACACTGAGAATCTATAAGTACAAGATATCAAGTACTACATCATTGTGTGGTTTCATTTTCATGTGCGTATAATATAAATCTGGCAGCAGTCAAAATCCTGGCTCTATCTGCAGGCCAGTAGGAACACACATTCTTAAAAATGAGTAATAAATGCCTATTTCTTATTTACTGAATTAATTTATTTTATTTAAATGAATAAAAGACAATAAATTCACCAACAAAAGGAGGCAGAAGGAATCAAGAGACTTGGTGACACTCCTCAATGCTCCGAGCACTCTGACTGCCTTTTCCTCCTGGTCTCTTAAATCTGTTTAGCAAGCAAGTTCAGGAAAACCTCTGGTAGAAGATGGCATAACGTGAATGAATTTCAGTGTAATGTCACACTTTATGAACTGATCGAGGTTTCAGGTCAGCAGCAAGACCACTGATGCTGTGAGCTTGGCAGAAATCCCGGGGTAAGTATTGTCATCTCCCCCTGCTCTGCATTTGGTTGTGGGCTGAACTGCAAACAAGGAACTGATAAGGGTGAGAAATAAAAAAGAAAAAAAAGGAAAAGGCTGGGATAGTGCTCTGGTCTTGTTCATAACATAATCCCACAGAGCAAGGAGGAGAAGCTGTGGGAGATGGGAATTACTACCAGCAAGGAGTTGGCTTTGCAGCCCTGTTCATTTCCACCCAGTCACAGGCAGGATGATTACTTCTTTATGAATACAAAAGGCCAGCTTAGGTGTAGGCCAAAATTGTACATAGCTTGATTGGAGACATCATTTCTCAAAGGTATATTAAGGTATTAGGCAAAGAGAACTCTAAAGCTGAATTTCACTCATTTTCCTAATTTCTCTGTATTTTGCAACATGGGGCTACATGCAGTGGCTGAAAAGAACAGACCCTCATCTTCCACAGCTTGTGCCAGGTGGAGTTAGGCATATAAACACCTCTGTAAACCCAGATATATGAAAAAACAATGTTCCTTCATAGTAAGATGGACTTCGAAAATGTTAAGACCTGTACATGCAGTCCTGAAAACTTCTGCCGTATATTCTCTTACATTTCTCTAAACCACCCATTTTAACGTTAAAACATACATTTTGTTCATTCCTAAAGCAGCTATGATTGACTCTTTTTCAAACATAGCTTATTTTAGGATCTTGCAACTCTGACAGCACTCGGACAAAAGAAATAAGTATATAAATATGCTGTTAAATCACCCATGACTGTAAAAATTTTATCAAAATGTTACCTGCCAAGAAACAGATCTGACTAAATCACAATAGTTTGTTCCAGTGCCATAGCTTCAGAAAGTATCAACTCCTAGCAAACGGGAAGTATTTCATTCTTGCATGAGATTCAGAAATCTGGCATACTTTAAATATTAAATAGCTGTTACAACACTATAGGGGAATTTTGTCCTATTGTCTCAGGTGTGTCCCACCAGGATGAAGCTTTGCTTTGAAATACCAAAACTCTGATAGGAAATCAGTGAATATATACTTAGCTCCCAATGATGTCCCAGAACAACACATTTTTATAGCAAATTTGGAGGCACTTGGTGAAAATTAATGGGAGTTTATAAAGGACTTTTCAGGTTCAGCATTTGATTCTCCATATGTATGTATCACAGATGAAGAGTACAAATATATTGACTTCTCGATGACCCATGATCCCAGGCAGGGTATGCAGAGGGTCTAGATGATGGCTTTTATCATCCAATATTCTCACATCAGCCGGAGGACATCAGACATTTGGGGAGCAGCAAGTACCGTTCTGGTAGAGTTCCATCAAAGCACTTTAAAATGCACCAGTGTAAATGCAGTATGCAGCCTGAATCACACATTCAGTTTTAGAAATGAGTTTTTCAGTACTTTCTGGTTAATTGTGCCTCAGCACATGTCATGATTTATCACACAGAGTGCTAAAAATTATGCTATGTTTTCTGGGGTTTATGTGGGACTTCAAGAAAAAGAGAGTATGGTTAAAAAATATCTCAGACTACCTGAGTAACATAGTAATTAGCTGCCAGCAACCTGAGGCTGATTAGAATCAACTTTTTGTTTCAAAATATCTTTTTCTTAGTAGAGCAGAATGCATAGAAAAATAAACATCTTTTTTTGTTGTTCCCAAACAGGGAAAGAAACTTTCAAGCTGTGGTGAAATAAAAAAAAAAAGTACTTCTACATCCTCAGTTCAAACCTTCATACTTCTTGGGTGCTGTTACAGGAATATGTGAGTGGTCCAAAACTGTAATGCATTTTTCTCCTATTTCTGCAGCATCTGGAGATAATTTACAGGTGGGAGATTGGGAAAGAATGTAGATTCAGTCATTTGCCTGATTAATGCTGGAATTAGGCAGCTGAGCTGGGCACAGAAAGCAGGTTTCCTTGAGTATTAGGACCAACACCATAGATTGTTTTGGACTTTAGTAAATGACTCCAAATCTCAGCACAAGCCTGTGCTGCAGTCAAAGGCATTAGAGCAGTTTGTGCAAAACACAGCCATGCTGCATTTAAATGAGGGAGCTCTGGGACTGGCAGCAGCAAGGACTTGGCCTAGGTACACTGCTCAGGTATTTACCCTAATTTCCAGATAAGATGTTGCAGCTACCAGCAAGTTCCAGGCTGCTACCTCTAAATCATCCGTGATAACTAAACTAGCCAACATAAAGCTAGCTAGATCTGTGCACCTGACCCATAGCCATGTTTTTGTCTGCCACGCAGATGTAACCTTGCTTAGGTTAATCCAAGTAACTGTAACTTTTGTGTATCAAAAGATAAGGGATATCCTACAACTTATTTTTTTTGTGTGTGTTATTTATGTACCAAAGGTTGCAGTTGTTGATGCTACTGATTCGCTAATTCAGTTCAGAGAAAGCCAGCCATGTGTCTGTCTCACCAGCTTTGAATCTGTCCGGAGGCTCAGAAGACCTCTGCTGGGTAAAGTTTCTGTCTCCAAGAGCATGTTGCAACATTAAAGACAGTGAATACTTGTCCTGTGTATTTTAAGCATGTGGAAAATCTGTGTTTAAGTGTGTAGAAAGACAGAAAAGGCCAGTCCATTAGAAATGTGAGGTAGAATGACTGTGTAAGAGTTATACATAACTTTAGTGTAACAACCCAAAGTGAAACTGGTCAAAGATGCATGCAGGCAGAGTAGCAGTCAGGACAATCAGTGCCACTTGCTGGAATGTTACACTAACGCTCTACATCCAGAAGATGAGTCCTATAGAAATTACTGATCTGGAGCCTGCTCCAAATTTGTTGTAAGCCTTTTGACGAATTTCAAGGCTCCTCTATACATAAAACAAAAGCATTCACAAACCATTTTCTTAGATAAAGTATCTCTACTTTTAATGTTTATTTATTAACCTGTTAGCATATCAGAAGATATATCAGGTTTATTCTCTGTAAAACTATTCCATTGCTAAAGGGGATTTGGGGTTTCCACATTATTTTATTCTATGAAAAGCAGGAAAATTAAAATCTCTGGAATTAAGGGCAAAACTAAAGAGCTAACCATATAACCATATAATCATTCATTAGTGACACAAAGTGGTGTTTTACATACCAGAATAACAAGGTCCTCTTGATACCACTGTTATCTCTTTCTGATGCTTGCAAGCAGCTCTCCTGAGGAAGCATTCATTTTGGTAAGTGTCTCCATTTGATCCGCAAACAGGAACATAGTTTGTCTGACACTGAAAAAGAAATTATAAAGTAAATCAGTCATACAAAACCATGCGATTACTCTCAACTGTATATTAATACACAGGAAAATAGTTGTGTAAATATGAATTACTAGCAGTAACTTATAACCCTGTTCACTAAAGGAAGATTTAAAATATATTATTTTCTCAGTATCACTGTATGTATCCCTTTTGAGTCACTGAAATAATAGTCCAACTCCGTATGGGCTGAACATAGAAATTCAATAGGAAAGATTAAAAGAACAAAATAACTATGATGGGACTTAGTAATGACCAGAGGGAATATGACAAGCATCTAGAAGTATTTGAAGGATAAATAAACTGAGGAAGGAGAAAATATCTTCAAGATAATACAAGAATGTATGTCTAGGCACAGGGGGATGAAACTGAGCAAAGGAAAATTTAAGGTGAACAGTGCTTGCAGACAGATTTGCTGATCTTTTTGCTTATAGAATGATCTTGCAAGGGAGATGGAAAACCATCACCACCCCTATTCAATTCATGAGCATCATGAGTCTGTTTTACTTGGTCAATGACTGTAATAATGCTCTTGTATTACTACACTGAAAAAGTTTAAGCTCTAAGTCAGTAGCATTGGTACTTTTAACAAAAAGAAACGAAGAAAGGAAAATTTATAATTCAGAATGGCTTTGTCAGGAGCAGCCTGTAATTTCTTATTTTCTTACATTCTAAGATAGATGGATTATATGCCCCTTGTATGTATAATGTGCATCAAAATGATGGGAAACACACTGAGACCACCAATCTGCCTAACATCTGTGAGTGCAGCACTGCTCCCTGCTG